GTTGAAATCTCGGGTCTCGCACCTTTGATATTTTCATGTGCGAATAATTTCCAACATGATTACCACTTGTATTTCGGTGAAGGAAAACATCGGGAGGAAACCTGCACGTCTATGAGAACCTAGCAAGTTTTCGAAAGACTAAGGTCCGCCAACCCGCACTTGGCCAGCGTCTATAGTCAGCGGACTATAGCCTGATCCCCCTCGTATTGGGAGGCCCGTGCTTAGCTGTGGGGAGTTAAAAAGGGGTTGAATACTACAGACTACTACTACACATATATAAGTATATATTACCTAAAATACTTATCGTCCGCATAATGTTTCGGCAAGAGATTGGTATTTATCCAACTAAATAAGTAGTACATGCACGGGTGAAAACCCGTGCAAAAGTACAAACCACTCGAAATGATAAAAACATATTTTTTAAAGATATTATTGCCAATGAAGATAGTGTATTCGCACATCATTGTCAACATGATTACCACATGCCTTACGGTGAAGGAAAACATCATGAGTCATCAAGAGTCAAATCTACCGGACCGCACTTAGCGAACGTTGTGGGCTATGGCCTCGTCCTTCTCATATTAAAAGCCTGATCGCAACAGTGGAACGCTTAAAAAGGGCATAATACAATGAATAGATTGTGTATAAGATTCATTTGTCGCTTAGCTGAAAAAGCGTACTTTCATTGTTACACCAGAAATAATATTTAAAGTAACAATATATCATTTGCAATTAAAACAAAGTTTTCTCTTATTGAGATATAACGTAACAACTCTCGTAAGTCGAAGGAACAAGTACTCGTAAATGATACAAGATACAAAACTCGTTACGCTGGATCCATCCTGTCCAACAAAAATGGCTATGTTATGTATTTTAATAGCAGCCATTACTTCATATGACATACATAATACTACTGACTTCGCCCGGGACTTGGGAGTAAGCGATGTACTTTACGTTCACAAACTTATTTGTTTTAGGAGCTTTTAATAGATCTTATTGTTAGGAAAAGACTAAATACTCGTATAACATTTGTTTGAGCCTATTTTAGTGATTCATTTTTTAAATTTAGTTGTTCATGAAGCAGTTGTTTTTGAATTTGAAGAAAAAATCCTTTAAAATGTTATAAAGTTGGTCAATTTTTTTGTGTTTGAAGATAAATTTCATTTGTTTAAAAACTTAAAAGTTGAAAGTATTTTATTTTTATGCATTAAGAAAATGTCTATCAACTAAAAGACGGTTGAGATAAAAGTATGAAGTATCATAAGAGGGCTTGAGATTGTGATTTTTAAAGGGATGTAAGAGGCATGCTAAGTAAAACTTTGCACTTGGTCCTCTCCACCTTCTGTCGCCTCACTGGTGGATAGAACCTCAATATTTCGATATTTTCAAAGAGTTATCAACCTATTTTAAACATTTATCGACGCTTTTGGCCAACTACAATAATAGTGCTCTGTTCGAGTGAGTTTTTTTCTCGAGATTATAATATCATAAAAAAATCTATACCTGAAAAAATTTCTTCTAGTGGTTTTTGAAATCGATGTACCTAATACAAAATTACTATTTATATTCATTTTTAATTCTTCTCTTATACGTTTGATTTTACTGACAGAAAACCTTAAAAACCATTATTTATAATAATAATAAATAAACAATAAATATGTCAGGACATTAACACACAGCACCATCTAGTTTCATGGTAAGCTACGAGGCTCGTGTTATGGATACCAGATACTTGATATATTATACATATATAACTTTAAATCCATACATATTATAAATATAATATTAATTGTATTTATTAACAATAATAAAGAAAATGAATCTAATTCCTATAATTATTATAAACGCGGAAATTTGTAGGTATATTGATAATCACTTAAGGTACCCCTTATTAGCGAGACTCCCTATTAGCGAGCCATGAATGCTTCAGTTATTGGATACTAGCGACTCACCCTCGCTTCGCTCTGGTTCGTCCCTAAGTAGTTTTAACGATATATAAGATTATAGAATAGATAGACTGTAACTGTTAAATACATATATTATTTTTTTTTCTAACTTAAATTTGATGTACTGTTGTAGATGGTAGGTCCACCACTATTGAAAGTAATCCAAAGTAGTGATTCCCATACAAAATAACCAGTTCTGAACTTTTCGATATTCCAGCTGTTCTTATGGGTTTTTCCTAAAAAAAAATATATTTAAACCATCCCTGATATACCTCCAACAAAACAAAAAAGGAATTATTCAAATCGGTTCAGCCTTTTTTGAGTTTTAGCGAGACTAACGAACAGTAATTGATTTTTTTATATATATAGATTAATAATAATTACTTGTCGCCCACAAGTGCGGGTGGCCATACCCTTATCTCTATTTATCATGTTATTTTAATGTCAATCAACGCTATCAGCCGCATCTTCACAATATATTAACGCCGGACATATTTAGTGCATCCTGTCGGTACTAATTACTTTTGTTATTAATGCGCTGATAATGCACTATGACTGTTACGTTACATACTCGTCAGGACTATGCCCTTGGCTTTAAAACGAAACTGGAAGATAAATGAAAATAAATCAAATGTTGCTTGCTACGTCAGATGGAATGTTAAAGTATCTTTGAAAATTTAATTGCAAATTCACACCACACGTGACATAATAATATGTTAGGACATTGACACACAGCACCATCTAGTTCCATGGTAAACTACGAGGCTTGTGTTATGGATACCAGATAGTTGATACACAACACTTAAATAACTTTAAATACATACATATTATAAATATAAACACCCATTACTGGAGTACAAAACATTCGTGTTCATCACACAAATGAATGCCCCTAGCGGGACTCGAACCCGCGACCGCTGGCACAGCAAGTAGAGTCACTACAAACAGCCAAACGTGTCGTCAATTCGATCAAAAAGTACTTTAATGTTTGCTTTAATACTATACCTACTGTTATTAATACAAAACAAAGTAAATAAAAATTCAATTCATTTTAGAAACTCCTTACACCTAAAACCCCACACCCCACTTGCAGTAAACCCAGATGATTGCACAAATAATTAAAAATAAAGCAAGAATATTATAATCTACATTCAACTAAAAACTCATTCAATGCAGTCATTTATACAAAAGTGGGTAGTAGTGAAAAGGGCCGTTGGTTTCAAACAGAACCTTCTCGAATGCTCATTTCACGTTCCGCCTAGACTAAAAAATTTTGAATAGGTGATTATTTCGAATTCCACCCTCAGACGTCCTCCCTGGACAAAAGCTCCTCCTCCCCGGCAGGATGTACACGCATTTAATATACAGTATACATCGACGCGACAACAATGGCCTGTGATTTTGTATTCCACTCATGGCGTTTCGACTTCGGTCAGTTATTTGTTGAAGGATTATAGATAAATTTGTATTAAAATGCAGTTTCGCACATTTTGTTTCTCAATCATACTATCTATATCTATAACTTTTGAAATTATTTATTCTTAAAAACAGCTATTGGACTGGTACGGTTTACCTAGGTACATACCAGAGGTCACAGGTTCAATTTTCACGAAGTGAATTTTGTAGTTTTTTAGTCCAAAAAATATACATGCGAAAGAAAAAGAAAAGACATTAATAGCCTTCTCTTTCTCTAGTCTGATTGTAAATAAGTACAATTCTTTAAAAATTGAAAAATAGATACATTAAAAATATCACTGTTACCACAGATTACTTTTTCAGACAATTTTAGTCACAGCTTCGTTTTTTGTATCTAAAATGCATCAACAAAAACGACTTACATCATAGTTAAAATGGCTGTTTTAAAACGTGCCGTACCGGTAAAGGAAACAAATAGTATTTTTTACAGGTCACGTAACGTATGGATTGTTATATAGGTAGCACTGGGCAAGTGGGACAAGTTAAACTGGTACAGAAAAACATTATTCACTCAAACACCAGTTACTGAATTGAATTAAAGAAAAACAGTTATTTTTAGAAAGTTCACATCTGTTTTGCTAGAAATAAAATATGCAAAATGCAGACTATAAAATATATCATATAATCTATACAAAAAAAGCAAGGCAAGCATATATGCAAGTAAGTAGTTGCATGAAAAATATAAACAATATCCAACAACCAATTAAGGCTTGATCGTTAAGTGCCTTAAATAAAAAAGTAAATATTTTTGAAATATATTAAAAAGTCAGTGCTCGGAGGACTAGGAGACCTATACCACCTATTTAAAGTTTTAAAGTTGGTAATATGCTGTACCGCCTCAAGGCACGTTAATAGTTTTATGTTGTGCCTTTCGAATTAGATAACATTACTAAATAGGAAGTCGATGAGTAAGAGATTTCTTTACATTCTTTACGATATAGATAAAATTGTTTGACCGTAACGGTGGTTGTGATTGTATTTGGAACTTTTCCATACCTATAATATAAATGGTAGCATTGGTTTTTTGCTTGTCTTCGGGCGCTTGAATGTTCGCCTATTTTGTATGTTCTATATTAAGGATATATTTATATAAATATTATACTAAATAGTGAATGTATAAGCTAAAGTCACTTCTGTGACTTGCCAGTTACCGGTAGTTCTAAGTCAAACTAATAGGTTTAGAAACTGTAACCGGAAACTAGTTATACTGACATAGGCAGGCACATTATTTAGAGAAAAAAACATGGAGTAACTACAAATCCCTTCATTTTTTAAACTTTAAATTAATTTCATGACCTAACTGTACACAATAAGGACGCAGTGACTCATTTGTCACTTCTGGACTCGGCTTCAAGTTAAGCGGGCCGATAAGATACTTCTCCTTTTGTGTCGCAAGTAAACATCATCACCAATATTTATAAAAAATCCAATGTGTACTGTGTCCAATATTGAACTAATTTATATTGTAAAGTGTTGAATTTATAGGATTCGTTTTAGAATTTAGTTACTTAATAAATTAATACTTTATTTAATTACCATATTTTCAATAATTTTCGTTCTTTCCAGATCTCTTAAGAAATGGCCTGCTCAGTAGACGCCCCCTCCCTCAAGGACTTGCCCAAAGTGGCCAATGACCTCAAGAGTCAGCTCGAAGCATTCAACCCAAGCTGTTTACGCGATGTCGACACCAATGAAAAGATCGTCCTGCCTTCCGCGGAAGGTAAAACTTTTTGTTATATTTATTTTGTGATTTAATTAAACACGAATTTAATAAGTCACTGTTTAATTGATTACTTTCTAAGTTAAATCGTATTAGTAATCTATTAGAAAATAAATACGAGGAAATGGTTAGTCATATCATATTGTGACTCACTAAGCTATACTTAATATTTTGGATGACTTTATAATTTATTCTATGCAATGAAATTATACAGGATAGGTATACAAAAAGTATATAAAAGGTAACGTTGATGTCATAAGGAAGGCTTTAAAAATATTAATATTGAATGTAAAACTTGGAATAAAGGTCGAGGTAAAATGATTTTTTTTACGACAGACGTTGCGAAAGAGAAGCAACACACAGCACTTCTACACGACGTTGAACAATTTCAAACATCCTCTTTAAGAAAAACGGACACGGTAGAAAAAATAGTCTTACCAAACGCCATAGGTATATTTGGGTGGATTATGTGAAGCAATATGACGGCTTTTGCTGTTCGTTTAACAATACGTGTTTTTTTCCTTAATACATTTAAACATACATCGCTTTTTTACCACACTAAAACATAACTCGTTACGCGCATGTATTTGAATATGACATTTTTTTATTTTTTTTATTTTTCTTCCATTTCATAGCCACAGACTATCATTCATTTCTAGTTTAGCGTGTTCGTAGTGTGGAGTCAACTGTACGTCTAACGTCTTTATTCATATTAAAATGCAATTAAAATAAATAGGTATATATTTATTTTATTAATGATTTACAGATGTTGCCACCGAAAAAAATCAAAAATCCCTGTTTGATGGCATTGAAAAATTCGACGCCACTAGGCTGAAGCACACAGAAACACAGGAAAAGAATCCGCTTCCGGACAAAGACGGTAAAATTTTATATTTATTTAATGCACCTTTATGCACGGTTAAATGTTTCATAAACGCAATAAAAATTAATGAATATTTAATTATTATTATCCAAACGCTAAACTGTTTTCGAATTGACTTTTAAATCTTTGCATTTGAAACACGCTTTTCCTTATTTATGTATTATCGTTTCAAATTAAAGCATGTATTCGTTGTAAGGCCTAATATATTTTAAATATTTAAAGCTTTTTTATTACGTTCCTTTGCACGCATTTGCTTGATAGTTGTCGCAGCGGAAAAGGCGCATCAGAACCTTCTAGATGGAGTGGAGCACTTTGACAAGAGCCAAATGAAACATACGACGACGGAAGAGAAGAATTCTTTGCCGCCAATTGAAGGTTTTTACTGCTTTATTTACTGCTTCGCACGTTTTTTTCTGTCACATATTATAATAATGGGCTCTTAGTACGAATTTTTAAAGTAAACGTAATACTGTTTTTAGTACCTACTTATCTAAACTGATATATGTAAGTCATATCTATACTCGATAACGATTATAAAAATACGTACTAAGGGCCATGATGCAGGTTTTATATGCATTTTATTTTAGTATGCATATTTTTTTGATTGAATAAATGTTTTAATATATTATAACTGAAGCACGCAATATTAAATCGCATCTGTTCTACATTATATTTACCGCATTGTTTGTACTGGTAAATAACTTTATTATATTAATATCTTAAAGCAAAAATTATAAAACTTATTACGGTCTTCGACAGGGTTTAATCTATCTATATTTCTATTCTAATATTATAATTAACTAGCATTGCCCGCGGCTTATCCCGCGTTCAGATGACCGAAAACCAAATTCTTAGGTTTTACATATTAGTACACTCTTACAATGCAGTTTTTGTATTTTTTCTCAGAAATGAGATATTTTTCCGCGGTAAAAAGTATCCATGTGTTGACCCGGAGAACCAGCTATTATCATACCAAATTTCATCAAAATCTGTCCAGTGGATTTCTCGTGATGCGGTAACAGACAGACAGACAGACACAAAAGTTCTAAAAACTATAGATTCGGACTCTGTATCGATAATAATTTCTATTTCAATTAGATTTTCCAAAAAATATTCAATGTACAGATTCGACTTAGTTAGAATTTTATTATAGATGTAAAAGTTTGCGAGTATGGATGTATGTGCGTTTGTTACTCTTTTACACCAGAACGGCTGAACGGATCTGGATGAAATTGGCGTTAAGATAGATTATAGTCTCTAATAACACATAGGCTACTTTTTATCCCGGAAAAATATACGATTCCCGTGAGATAGGATAATATTAGATAATAGATAAATTTTAATTCTTTTTCTACTTAAACCTACGTCTAATCTATAACTGTCAGTATAAATGTTACAAATCCCTGGAAATATGTTAAATGGATTACTTTGGATTATTTCTTTGCTCCTATCAAATGCAGCTTAATGAAATTAAATTATACTTTCACAGTATACTTTGCTGTTTTATATAAAACTTTCATGTGGCGGGTACCATGGAAAACGAAACGCAATGGTCTAATTCTAATTTTCCCACATAAGTTTCCGATTTTTCTATTTATTAATTATATCTATGTCCTATAGCCATTGAAGCGGAAAAGGAAAAGAACAAGTTCCTGAACGGGATCGAAAACTTCGACCCCACCAAGCTGAAGCACACCGAGACTTGCGAGAAGAACCCTCTGCCTACGAAGGACATCATCGAGCAGGAGAAGACCGCTTAAATAATATATATCCGCAACTATGTATCGCTAGTATCGCCGTATTTTAGTCAATAAGTTTCGTATAGTCGACCTGTGACGTCCGTTCAGAAATTGAATAAGAAATCATTTTCAATTTTTTTATCATCAACCATTTTGCCACGAAAATATCATCCAAGCATCAAAATATCTTTCATTTCACTTTTTTGTTTTTCATGCATTGTTTTTTTTTATTTCCTCATTTGATTTGATATACACAATTACAATTTTTATGTAATACTTGATTGAAATGCTGGTTTTCGAACGAACGGGCGCCGCCGCTCGGCCACTATCATTAGAACGTAGGAACCAAATTTTCTATGTCACTTTTAATATATATCTAATAAGTGTATTTTATGAGCATTTTATTTAATTTATAATGGAGGATTTAAATTTTAAGATTGAGTACTGATTTTATTTTAAGTTGGGAACACACTGCACTCCGTTATATAATTTCAACCGCTTCGTGCTTGTGTTCTCTGTATTTTAAATAATTTAGTATATTCTCGAAGGAGTAGTCTCTGGTCGATATTTATTAGGAGTGTAGTTACCAAGACTAATTTGAATCGAAATTTTTGCGAGAATTTTATATTTTTCATTTATTTTTCTACAAATGTTCGAAAATTATAGGATTAATACTGAATGCTCAACTGCGTATAAAGCTAAGATTTTCTAATAATTTTGAAGCAATTATGTTTGTGTTATGAAAAAGTGAACAATAACAATAAATTTTTATACTGTCGTATTGCATTATATCCGTACAGTCATTTTTTCAATTTTATAATACGCTAACGATGCCAATAAATTTTTTTATCGAAATTTTGTATGTTTTACAGACGGTGCTTTTTCTAAATATAGAATGAAAAATAAAATGTTTTCTTTTTTAATTACCCTTATCCATCATTCATCAATTAATTCATCCAAGAGTTTAATATGCTAAGGATAATTATTATTCTAGTGATCGCTTCATTCCTCTGTGTGGAGTATGAGAAATGAAGTATGATTTCTTTAAAAAGTACTTTATTTAATCAAAATTAAAGGAGAACTATTAAAAATGTATTATGATTATTTTTATTTAATATTTATCTTACGTAGAAATAATATTTTTATCAAATATGCCTATTATTTTTGTTTTATTACGATTTATCTTAAAAGTCTTAAAAGTGCGTATTTTTTAAATGTCTGTCCAATGTGTTAATTGCGTAAAACGCTGCATCAAAGAACGGATGAAATGTGCAATGCATTTTGTTTTTCTGCCTTCAAAAATTTAATGCTAGTATACATTTCACTATGAAACTTAATAAATATATGATATTTTAACTGACTTTATATAATTTATAGGTATATTCATATAATTTGCACAAAAATCTTATCGTAGAGAATATTATACGAGTTATAAAAATATTTAAATATGCAGTTTCTTTACTGGCAACATTGGTTTTATTGATTTATTATGCAGTTAGGGTAGTTAATTCATTAAGAGCCCCTGCAACAAGTCTGTTAATGTTTGTTTTGTACACAATCAAAGTGATGTCTTTAGAAATACTAAGTTATATAATATAAAATTGTGTTCAGACTACTTTATATGTATCCTTTCTATACTTATAGGCAATTGATGTAGTGCTATTAATTTTTAGTTAACATCACAGAATTCACCATCATTATAATACATTAATAGAAGTAATTAATATATTGTGAACAATATATGAATTATTAAAGTTGGCTTGTGAAGTGTTGGCGTAGTGTTATGAGATGATAATAACAGGAAAATTAATCTTGCGATAAATCATAAAACTTTGCTATTCTCTTCGTATTTTAAATATTATTATTTTTTATAATAAAACTGTATCAGGCTCAGACCAATAAGTACTTTTTTTTGGTCTGAGGTATCAGGTCGAAAATTAAACAAGTTTCTAAAATTTTAGCTGTTTGTGTGTTTGATCGAATATTTCGCGAGAAGGGCTGGTAGATGGATCTTAAATAAAAAATTTTTCAATAAAAATATACTTTATAATTTTGTGTTACGAGTTGATTTACTTATATAGCTTGACAGTGGTAAATATAACTTAAAAGTTTAATGTTCAGTGGTTGTTAGGTAACTAAAAAATATACGTTTTTTCTGAACGCTAGCGAAATTAAAAACATTTATTATAAATTTTCGTGGCAAAGATAGGCAGCTTTAGGATTTTATAACTCATTATTTTGTATCTTATCAATAGGTAGTATTTTCTTGTGCATCTATTTATGGCAACCCAAGAACGATGCTCCTTTGTTGACTCTATGTTGATTTTATATTTTTACGATATTTATATTTAATATACATATACATTAAGAAATAAATACCTAATTATTTAAAAAAGGAAGTCAAACCGTTTATTTTTAGAATGTATTTGAAATTGAAAATAAAATGAAAATAAATTCATAAACTTGATTTACTATTTCATATTTTAAGTGCCTATTATAATTATATAATACTTAATAAAATATTAAGATTACATTAATAATATATTTTAAATGTGTTTTTCGTTTTATTAACCGTAAAATGGATTTTTGTCTGTGGCAACTTATTTGGTGGTAATATTTTTGCAAATTGGCATTTTGAACGTATTTTGATGTGATGTAATTTTGATTTTCCTTCCCGCCGGCTCTTGACGGTTGCTTTTGGCACGTGCAATTTTTTTTCTCAGTATTCCACATAAAACGTACCGTATTTCGTTTGAAAGTTAAACACTGATGCTGACTGTTGGATATAATCATTTCGGTGAGTGTTTTATTGTTTATTCCTTTTATCGTATGTGCTATTTTATGTGCACGTGTTGTGTATCGTAGACAGCAAAACAACCATTTGCACTCGCTAAACATTATAGTTACGATATGGATTTGTGATTCAATTTAAGAGATTTTGTGTTATCATTTTGTCATGCCTGGCAAAAGCAAGCGAAAATTCGTACACAATCATTAGCACTGCCGTAGCGTCATTTGTTTTTGTTTACCTACAGATTGTTAGCGGTATTAAACAATGTCGCCTTCCCCGATCCGATGCCGTGGGCCATGGAAAATACAAAAACGCACGTCTGATTCAGATCGTTGGCTAGACGAGATGGGTTATTTTCGAAAACATACGGCTAGAGACTCGAGCTGTCTTTTTAGGGCTGTTTCTGAAAATATTTACAATACACAGCGTTATTTTCATAAAGTTCGTTTAGACTGCGTTCACTTCATGGCTTCTCAACGACACCTTTTCGAGGGGGTAGGGGCAATTTTTATTTTTGTTGCTAAATATCAGAAAATCAATATCATCATAACATGTTTTTATTTTGTTTTGTAGTCATTAAATTGTCCATTTGACAATTATCTTAAAGAGATGTCTAATCCATCAGAATATGGTGGGCTGATTGAAATATCGGCTATGAGCCACCTTTATAGGTAAGAATAAAATATATTACAGTTCCTAAAACAACAGTACTTCAATGTTATGTGAATAAATGAAAAGATATTTCTAGTAATTTATCAATTACTTTTATAATAATAAATAATTGATTAGTCAAATATAATTTTGTGAGGCATTTCTATAACAAAAGTGCATTAAACATTTTGCAGACGTGATTTTGTTATTTTTGAAGCTAACAAGGGTCCCCAAACAAAAATTTGCAATGGTTATGGAGTCACAATTTATTTGTTTTATTCACCCGATACTAAGCATTTTGATGTTGTTTACACTAAGGAATTCATTGATGCATCATCATTTTGTCAATGTAAGTCGCTTTTTGTGAATAGCTTATTTCCACAGTATTACTTTTCAATACAAGTGTATATAATACTTTCTTAGATTACAAGTGTATATCTAAGAAATGATTTTAGTCAAATAAATCTTTCTGTGTAGAATCAATAACTAAATATTTATTAATAACTTATGAATAAAATTTAAACAAATATTTTTTAATTTATAATATTTATCATTTTATTCCAATCTTGCCAGTAATGCCAAAGGTGAACCACGGTAAGACTTGAAATTATATATATTTTTTTTATATTATTCAAACTGTTAATATGTTTGTAGCATTGGTTTATGAGATACTTTATGATGGAGTGTATCACTTAAAGGACTTACCATATGCTGTTGACAAAATGTTACATGACAAAGTACCAACCAACCATATTGAATATTTTATGTCAGAAAATGTAGAGCGCCGTAAAAAACAGAAAGAGAAATCTAAAATTTTCATTGAAACTCCTAATGATGAGGATAAGGATAAAAATAATAATGCTTTAGCCATGAAATGCAAGCATCATATTGCTGATGCAGACAGGGGTAGCCTTTTAAAGGAATCTCTCAGTATTTTTGTGTTTAATCGCAGTCTCATACAGCTTGAAAATGTTTGCATGAATTGCTTAAATGTGAACAGCGCAAAGGATTTACTTGAAAATGGAATCACTCCATTTCCATATAAGGTTGCTAAAGCATTAGATCCTGATATATATCGCAATATAGAATTTGATGTCTGGAGTGAACTCAAAAGAGGTATAAATAAGAATTTAGGTCCAAAATTAAAAAGCTGTCTAATTAGGGTTGATTTTGATAAATTACACATATTTACAGAATTACGTTATGGAGCTAGGTACTGTGATGGAACAACTCTTCAAGTGGGAGTTAAATGCCTTTGCAAGCTTGATCCTGATCAAACAGTGGCATATCACTGTCATATCCAGGAAATGAGAACTGATGGACCTTGCCTGGTGTTCATTGAAGAGTTAGGGGAGAAACACTATGTAAATTATGACCAATTGGAACCATTGCCAATAGAACAAGTGAAACCCTGGGCCCCACCTTACAGATACACTCGGGCGAATTCTCAAATTGTGAACTTAAGTCAAATGTTGCAGCAGATAGGTGTGGACTTGTTTTATATGCTTTAAAAATGTAGCTTTTTTTATAAAAATATTTTTTAGCTATAGCTGCTAATTTTTTTTATTAAATTCATTTTTAATTTGTAAGGATTTTTTTAACAATTTATATAATTCATAATTTTGGTCCAAAATATATATCACTTTATCCTAGGCAACATAACTCGTAAACAAGTGCTAAGCAAGAGAACCAAAATCAAAGATGAGATAAAAGAAACCGAACCAACGGAGAACCAGGAGATGACCCATTACTATACATATCCGCACTTGGATTATATAAACTTTCAACCAGTGCCCGTTAGTTGTAGATAGGTTTTTTAGACTTTTATTAGAATGTGCTTTGACAGTTTTTTGTTTTATAAATTATTTTTTTAATTATATTTTTGGAACTTGTACTGCTACCTGAGGAAAACTGCATGAATATCTCGAAAATTAATACTTTTCAATTAAAAAATATACAATAATTATTCTCATCTATAAATGATAAGAATGAAAAAAAAAATTGTTGTAACGTTTTTTATCTGTCAAAGCCCTTCTTATAATCACTATAATTTAGTATAGTTCATACGATTTTTTAGCATTGTTAATCATTATTGTTCATATGAGCATACCACTTGCAAATATAAAAGAATTGTGTGAATTACCTTTTTTATTTTTTTATTTCATATAGCAATATATAAAGTTATTTATATTTGGATGGACTCCAGTATTTTAAGCCAAGTGGAATGCTTATTTTAAGTTAAAACCCATATCGTAGCTATTTAGAGTAGTTTGATAATTGATTATATATATATATCTTTAGTGGTGTTGTAGGTAGATGAAAATAAGTGGTTTGCCAATTTAATGTTGGTATTATGTATTGGTTTTGTGGTGTTTTTTTTATTGATTGGCTTAATGGGATTTTGGAGTAAATGATTTTTTCTTTTGCGTTTTTTTATTTGTTTTTTGGTCTTATGTCTTTTATGTAGTTTTGAAGTAAGCCATCATAGATAGTTTTTTTTTTAATTTTTGTAGGAGCATATATTTATTAGTTAGATTTTTTTAGAAACAGTTATGTTGAGCTTAAGTATTGACATAACTGAGTCTAAATCGGCATTTAATTAATTATTAGTTGTATGTCAGTAGATAATATATAAAATTTTATATATAACATAGTTAGCATTTTATAAATTGTGTTGTTACTTTAGTCTATAGGTTATGCCTTAAGGGATTTAACTCAGGCACTCTAATGATTCTTATTGAATTGGATTCATCGTTTTTTCTACTTTTTTACTCGTACTTGATATTTTTAATCAATTTCAAAAAGGAAGTTCTTACTTTCTGAATTTTTCAAGGGTAGGATATGTTAAGCAAAAACTTCCTCTATTATAGAATGTAGTAGTTGAAATATTCTCGAGATTGGGGTCCTATTTAAATTTGAAGAAAATGTTCAATTAATGCAAATGGTGGCTAAGTTTTATTAGCTGTTTAGCTCATTTGGAGGTGTTTTAAATATTTATTTACAAGCTAAATTACAATTGTAAGTGAAGAAATATCAACTAATAAATTCCCAAATGGATAAAATACATTCTAATGTATAGATAATCTAACATATTACTTAAGTCTAAATATAAGAGTACGTGAGTTAAATCCCAAAAAAATAATATTTTGAATAAGTAACAATGATTGTTTCAACTTGTCAGGTTGAAGTAAAAGCACTGCCCCTAATGGTGGACTGTCGGCCGGCGGGCGCTCCGCCCCACGAGATCGCTCACGCCAACGGAGCCCCACCGGAAAATCATAATCAGGTTAGGCCCTTTTAAATTTGGGAAACCTTTTTTTTTATAGGTTTGTAGGTACATTTTTCTTGATGCTATTATTTCCTATCATTTAAACTTATTATTTATGTTAGTATATTTTTTTGTGACATTTTTTTACGTACATATCGCAAATGTTCTGTACTAATCTATACATACATATAATTAAACTAGCATTGCCAGCGGCTCCGCCTGCGTTCATATGACCAAAGACCAAATTCTTAGGTTTAACATATTAGTAAGTATACTCTTACAATGCAGTTTTTGTATTTTTTCTCAGAAATGAGATATTTCCCCGCGGTAAAAAGTCCTATATGTTGACCCGGATAACCAGCTATCATCATACCAAATTTCGTCAAAATCCCTCCAGTGGTTTTTCTGTGATACGGTAACAGACAGACAGACAAAAATTCTAAAAACTAGATTCGGCCACTGTATCGATAATAATGTTTATTTCAATAAGGTTTTCCAAAAAAATATTTAATGTACAGATTCGGCTTAGTTACAATTTTATTTTAAGTATAGATTCTAACTGAATTGAATCTGTACAAGAAATATTTATTGGTAAGACTTATTAAAATATATAGTCATTATTATCGATAAAGCGCATCACGAGAATGCCACTGGATAGATTTTGATGAAATTTGGTATGATGATGGTTGGTTATAATATACGATAATATACGAGTAGGATACTTTTTACTGCGGGAAAATATCTCATTTCTAAGAAATCTATAAAAACTTTTAAAACGTATCTAGGGTCGTACTAACCCGAGCGGAGTATGGTCGCTAGTATTATATACATATCTCTGTTGTAGTAGGGTTTTCAGGGAGTAATAAAAACCAATTTATACGTAGATCTAAAAGTGGGATTTTATTGTTTTCAAATTCGTAATATATTTGTTCATTCGTTCGTGTCAATTTTACTTCTTCCTGAAAAATTCACAGAAATGGAATTAACGAATGTAGGTATTGAAAAAAAATATCTTTTGTGTTGTTATTTTTTATTTTTAACACTGTAATAGACTGTTTTATTTTTTGCTTATTATTAGTTTTTGTATCGAGAGAATAAATAGCAAATACTTTAAACTTACACAAGGTATTAGTCACCACTACATATAAAACAAAGTCGCCGCGTCTTTCTGTTTGAACGCGATAAATTCAAATACTAGAGAACGGATTTTCGTAGTTTTCGCCAATAGATGATTCATGAGGTGTATAGCTCAGGTTTTGTGCAATACGAGTATAACGATGATTGTTGAATATGTCGGAAAAAATCTTGCCGACTGGGAGTTTTATTGGCGTGCGCCGCGTACACCACAACAATGTATTGTGGAATTATTCCTCTAAAAAGATATATTAAACGTAAAATTTAAGTTAATTGTTTCAGAAATGAAATATTATATACACAAGAAAGCCAGCTATCATACCAAATTTCATCAAAATCTGTCCAGTGGTTTCCTCGTGATGCGTTCCCAGACAGACAGACAGACAAAAATACTAAAAACTATAGATTCGGCCTCTGTATCGATAACAATTACTATTTCAATAAGATTTTCCAAAAAATATTTAAAGCACAGATTCGACTCAGAATTTTATTATATGTATAGATCGAATACAATTTATCTAAAATAAACAATGCACCACTCGTACTAGCCACTTACAGCTTATCACTAGCCACTTGTGCATTTGTACACGTTATTGATGTTACATTGTAATAATCTACTTTAGTACCTAATTGTAGTTTGTATGTTTCATTTCACGTAGGCGTCTGAATGGTGTCTTAACCCCACTTTGTATGCAGATATCGTGTTTCATACACGATATCGTGCGTTATGCAAAAACAGTGTTAAAGCAATAGCTATATTAAAAACAATACGTATATGTTCTATACTAGCGACTTAACCCCGCTTCGCTCGGGTTCGTCCGTAGGTACGTTTTAACGGTTAGTATGGAATAGGCAATTTTTTTTATTGATATTTTATTTTTTCTCAACTTAAACTTGACGCATTGTTGTAAAATATAGGTAGATGGTAGGTTCGCCACTATTGAAAGTAATTGGAAGTAGTGATTCCCATACAAAATAAACAGTTCTGATTTTTTTTATTCTCCAGCAGTTTTTATGTGTTTTCCTTATTTTTTTAATACTTAAACCACCCCTGACATATTCCCAACAAAATAAAAAAAGAATTATTCAAATCGGTCCAGCCGTTTTTGAGTTAGAGACTAACGAACAGCAATTGATTTATTTTACATATACTTAGATTATAATTTGACGACACATTTGGCTCAGTTGGTAGTGACCCTACTTGCTGTTCCAGCGGTCGCGTGTTCGAGTCCCGCTGGGGCCATTCATTTGTGTGATGAGCACGGATGTTTGTTCTCCAGTCATGGGTGTTTATATATATAATATGTATGTATTTAAAGTTATATATATGTAGTGTATCAACTATCTGGTATCCATAACACAAGCCTCGTAGCTTACCATGGAACTAGATGGTGCTGTGTGTTAATGTCCCAACATTTATTTATTTATTTATAATTTATAATATAATATATAGATAATCTAAGTCTTAAAAAAAGAAGTTTTCGTATTACTAATTTAAGCTATATAACAACAGTTTAATTAAAATAAATTAATCCTTGTATTTTCTATATCAGAAAATTTAAATCTACTTCCAACATATGATTTTACTTGAACCAATTAATGATATTAATAAAGAATAAGCGTGATTTTTTATTATTTTTTATACAATCTCCCATTAGCCATTATAGCGTTGTTAAGAATCAAAAAAATTAGCAGAAAATTACGTGTTATTATTTACAATGTAATTATCGATTTTATGAATACAAAGTTCCAAAAAATCATAATCGATTTGGGTCGTTAGTTAAAATAATAAGCTAATTAATTTAATAATAATAATAAAAAAATAATTAGCTATAATTACAATAGGTAAGTTCGAGGGGAAATTAAAACACGATCATGATGACATTATGAAAATGTTTTTTTATATTAGTTTTGTTTTATAGTTAGATCGAAAAAGACCCCTTTGAATATATGGATATGGATTTGGTGAGATTGGAATATAATTTGCTTTTAATTCATTGTGTTGATAAGTATACTATTTAGTATTCTAGTTATTTTGATTAGGTTCTTTCTTTATTGGAATATGTGTAAAGTGTAACGATAAAAAATACGTGTAGATAATTGGATTGTGTAATAATTAATTTGGATGTAGGTTTTGGTGCATCGCTTTTCATGATCTTTTTGCGTACATGTGGGGCGGAGGCGTATAGGTATGTGGAGGGTCTCATTACTCATATGACTTTGAATGGAAAACTAACCACCTAAGTTTTTAAAGTCATTTTAGACTAGTATTATTTAAATCAATATAGTATATTGTTTTGTGCGCGTGCATAATGTCAATGGCCTGCGATATTGCGGCAAGTTTAGTTTTCTTGTTAATAACCTGACTACATAAAAAGAGGACACCATAGGAGGATGGGGTTTTTAATTCGTTAATGGTGTTTTTGAGTATATACCCTCCCCACCTTTTTAAGTTCATGCCCAGACACTTATATGGCACGTGTCTCCCTTCAATGTGAAGGGAGGCCAAACTCTACCATGATGTCCAAGTGTGGATTGGAGGATTTTAGGTGTCTTTCGAAAACTTGTTCTCTCAGACATGCAGATTTCCTTACGGTGTTTTCGTTCAACGCAAGGCAAATTGTGAAGATGACTCGGTGTTTGTCTGTTGAACTTTGTTTTCCAAGTGTGGAAAAAATCCAACTCCTCAATGTTGACAACTATTTAGTTTAATTATGAGGGAAAGTTATATTATTACTAATATATTTATGAAGTATTTTACTTCTAATATATTTACGAAAGTAAGTTTGTATGTGTGTGTTTGTGAGTTTGTCAAACGGCTGGACGAATTTGGGTGAAATTTGGTACATGCTATATGATCTGGAGTAACACATAGACAGTACTATTTGGCACCAGAGCTGGGTGAAGGTGAGTCACTGGCTTATCCTATATTTTGCTTACAATAATGTTTCTCTTCCAGGCAGGTGCGAGTGTAGACATGGCGGCGCACGGGGTGCCGCCCGCGTCAGGGCGCGCCTCCACCCCCGCCACTACGAACGCAATCACTACGTACAGTGCTAATTATAATGGTGAATATACTTTTATAGGTTATCTCAAATGTTTTTTACCGCTTAAAATATAGATTTGTAAATGTCGCTCAGGATTTATGAACATTTTTAAGTCCATCGTTTTCGATGTTACCTAGCGAATTTTGAAAAACCTTGAGGGTCAAACAAATTTTTCGAGCAGATCTTTAAAGAGGCTCTTAAACATGAAAAAGTAACATTTTTTCATACGAGACACTAAAACAAAGAGTCTTCGTTTTTTTTCGCCAATCCTGTATATATAGATTGGGCACTGAATATTCCAATCATCAGGGGTAATGAACCCGGGCCAAGCGTCGCAAGCGCCGCCGGTGAACTACGGGTGCGCGCCGTACGGCTGCGGCGTGAAGTCGGTGGTGTGGTGCGGCGCGCCGGCGCTGCCCGCGCTGCCCGCGCACGCGCCGCCGCACGCGCCGCCGCCGCCGCCGCCGCCCGTCAACCCGCACGTCTGCAAGAGCGTGCAGCCCAGCGGCGCGGACCTGCCCATGAACGGTATCATATATGTATTATAAGGATACATCCACTATTTTGATATTCGATAATTAATCTGTGACTACATCGAGTTGTCGAGAGTCTTTGTCGAGTTGACTTACTTTTTCTCGAGCTGGCGCGATATACGAATCGGTGTATCTTTAACTGGATAGTTTTTGTAGAATTATATTCACAAACCAGAAATTAATACAAGTGCTTATAAATAAATAATTAATTGTCAGATTTATGTAAACAAGTTTCAACTGTTGTTCTTTTGTGTTTATAGTATATTATATATACCACCGGATCAACACACTTACCCGTTAACCTAGAATCTGTAAGAGTGCGGTCGAGTGGGGCTGATATACCAATGAATGGGTAATAAATCATTTAACCTGCAAAGTCTGGTTTGACAATAAGCTTTGAAACAAAGTTCGCTTTGATAACGGCTGACACCCTAGTACTTCTACTCTACTACGCAATTACATAATATGCATTTGGCTCCAAGTCCACTCTGATTGAACGCCGACGTCAAAGTGCGCTTTGATTGGTCGTTTACACGATCAAAGTAATCATCAAAACTACTTTGTCAAAGTCGACTTTGATCGTGTGAACGTGACTTTAATTCAAATAACTATGACTTAAAAATGCTAGTAAAACCAGACGTGTGGTGCGACTCGTCCGCGCTGCCTGCTGCAACAGACAAGGGGTTTCTCCCACGGTCTACTCTGCCATCAGAGAAGTAACAGGAGCAACCCGTCAGTGCGTCTGTAGGCTTTACGCTCCCACCCCACAAGTTATATATTAAATTGATATAATAATTAAGTATAATAATAAGTTACGTATGTATGTACATTGCAGACATAGCGACCCTGCGCTTCTACTTCAACCTGGGCGTGGAGTGCATGTGGGCGGCGTACGGCCCGCCGCCCGCGCCGCCGCGCCACTACGCGCCCCGCGACCTGGCTCACGTACGCACTCTGCGCACTAGTATAGATTACTTAAGAATACTATAGTAACATCCTTCTTTTATAATGTTGAGTAATGCATTTACGCATACCACCTGCAAATCTGCATACATACAAGTGGTTATGTAGGAATTACTGGCTAGAAAAGCCACGAAACTAAATGCAGCTTCCCTCGTCTTATTGAAGTACTCAGACACGAAAAAATAATCTACGTGCTATTCAAGACTAATCTATGTCTGTGCCAAATTTCATCCAGATCCGTTCAGCCATTTTGGCTTCATTGAGTAGCAAACATCCATCCATCCAAACTTTCGCATTTATATATATGTTAATGGGAATTTATAATATAAATGGGATTGTTTTTACGATCGTCCAGGAGATGCAGCAGATGTCGCTGCACGAGCGCGCGCAGGAGGCGCACAAGCACAAGGCGCAGGACAAGCCGCCGCTGCCGCAGCACAAGGGCGCCGGCCAACGCCCTCTACTGGGGCCCAGGTCATACATCACACCATTTATTGCTAGTTATATTAATCTATCCATACTAATTATATATAAGATGTAATAATATAAATGTGGAAGTGTTTTTTTGTTTGTCCGTCTTTCACGTCGAAACAGAGTGACAGATGGGTTTCATTTTATATGTGTAGATAGTTGGAGGGCTGGAGAGTGACATAGAATACTTTTTACTGCGGGAAATTATTTTATTCCTAAGGGCAAACATGTTATAATACAACCTACAACAACTCATCATCCCTCTGTTTGTATAATACTAGGAACTCAACCTCACTTCACTCGTGTTTGTCCCTAGGTACGTTTTAATGATTAGTATGGAATAGACTATAAACATACATAGGTGTAGAAAAGAATCGTTCAAAAATAATATTTATAGATGTTGCTGATTTTAGGTTTAAACGTGGCGGCAACAACCAAGATGGCGGCAATCAGAACAACAACCAACATCAGAATAAGGGCCATAATAATAACATGCCGAATAAAGGACCTAATAACCGGTTAGTTTTATTTTAAAATATCAAAGTAGAGACGACTCATAATGATAACCTCACGCTTTGGAAACAGTGCGCATTGGTTTCCATACCATACTTTTGCACCTTTGAGATTTTCATGTGTGAATCTCACTTTTAATGTGTACTTCCAATAGATTTAATTCATAATTTATAATCGAAATTCTACTATAGTAGGGAATATGCATGATGTTTTTTATTTTTTTGTACAATAGCTTACATTGTTATATAATTGAAAAAAAATATATATCCAGCTCTAAAACACTAAAATTTAGTATATATTTTTAAATATCATACCGGTACTCATACTTTAAATGCCCGCCATTTCGCGGGCTTGGCGTGACGTCACAGTATGATATACACAGAGAAATTATGACTCAATTTGTAAGCGACAAAATTCGCTGTTATGATAATACATGGACGTCATATCTGACCAATGGCGTTCGTTTCAACTACTTTGAATTTCCCAACTGTTTTTGCATGTTTTAATAATTATTTTCTTAATCAAAAATAAAATACATTTAAAAATATTGATAGTCTTAATTAAAAAGCGGTAAAAAACTCCTTAAATAAAGCAATTAAATAAACACGCACGTAAATATTCCCTATTGCGAATGTTTGTATGTTTGTGTGTGTACATTTGTTACTTCTTTAGGCTGAAATGGCTAGACGGCTACTCTTTGGCCTTAACGGTCGGATCCGCGCGAAGCAAAGTAAGTAGGTAATAAAATAATCTGATTATATATTTTTTCTTAGGCGCAACTCGCACACAGATCAACGCGCGTACATGCCCAACACGAACGTAGGTGTGGGAGTGGGAGGAGGAGTAGGAGTGGGCGTGGGCGGGGGAGTGGGTGTAGAGGAGTGCATGGAGCCCCCGCTAGTCTCCTTCCCCTACATCCCCTACCCCCCGCCGATATACCCAGTGCCGTATTACCCTCTGGATTCTGAACCTGGTATGTGGAATATTGTATCTATTAATAACTTAAAGCTCAAGAATGTCGAGGTGAAAGTCTCAGGACGCTCCGATGAGTAGGTATAAAGAGAATGATTACAAAGGAAGTTATTGTGTGTGTGTGCGTGTGTGTTTTCTGTTCTTATCAAAGTTTCAACTAAATAACTAGGCTAGGCTGCAAGTGTAAGTTAGGATAGTTTTTCAACAACGAATTCAAATAAATGCAATAACAATCAGATAACAATATGTCTATGTCCTAATTAGTAAGTAATGTAAAGTGAATATAAATTAATAATTCAAAAATAATTTGTAGTAATTAATACAAGTATAACGGTTACATATTTTATTTTCAATGTCAAAAGGAACGAAATCTTCAAAAAAGTTAAAATTATAATTATTAAAAAATAAATCATGCAGTGAAAATATTGTATACCATCACAAAAAATAACCATTTTAATAAGTACATCAATAATAAATCTATTTTCCAGCCATGATGGGGATGATGGGGGGCATGGGCTACGTGGGCTACGAGGAGGGCGTGGAGTATGCGCCTGTGCAGCACTTCTACCCCCCGCCTTACCCGCCGCAGCACCACCCCGATCACAAGTAGACACCCCCAGACACCATACAAAACAGTATAAAAATCCATACAGTAGGCGATCATCCATTGATTTTAACTGAAATGCAAGGGTTGTCAAAAATACAAATTTTCATGGCGAATTGTTGCTAACTTAAAATCAATAGTACATAAGTTAAAGTTATTCCCGTCAACCGTATTAAAGTAAGTGTGCCAGTCGGGTGCGTCTCTCCTATTGCCTTCGTTAGACGTCTGTATGGATTTGTAGACTGTGACACAATGGACCCCAGATCTTTCTAGTAACTTGAATTTTTGTTATTAATTTGTGTTTTTTTTTAATATATGAATATGGATACGTCTTGCTAAATTATTACAGTGGAGTGTACTTGGTTAGGTTATTTTTTATTGGTGGTGACACAAAGGTGGATGGTAAAATTGTGTTGTAATTTATGTAAAGCTTATCCATATTTATATTTTATTTAAAACCTTAAAACCATGGTTATTATGTAACATCTTAATTGTTAACTTTTTTAAACTTCCTATTCGATTTAAAATCAACCCCAAACATTTAAGTTCACATTCTTAAGCTATAAACTATAAAATAGAACTTTTATAAATAGCATTGAAAATATCTCGTAACGTTTCTGTGTGAGACTTATGTAATGAATCTCAGTATTCCTTTGCAATTTAAAAATATATATATCAAAAACGTCTTGTCAAAATTTTTGAAAAAAAATTAAAGTAAAGTGTGTTAATTTTATATGAATTAATCTTATGACTAAAATTACGAAATTACTAACATATCTAAACATTAGACCTTTCAGTTTAACTGAAAAAAAATTGAAGACTGATCTAATTGATTAATGGGACCCACCTTTGGAATTTCAGTATTTTCTTTTGTTTGTTTTTTTAATATTCTTTGGTTGTCATTTTCATATTTTTTATCCACAACGACTTTGCTCAACGAAAACGGTATACGATTTTAATTGTGGCACTGACTAGATGTTTAGGGAATTTTGTTAATATATCCTGTGCTAATTAAAAAAAAAGAAATAATATATATAAAACATAGTTGAAAATGAACAGAAATACATACAACATGTATTTGATTTTGATTAATAATATCTAATAAAAGACGATTGATCGATTAATTTAACGACCGACTCGATTAATCGAATCGATAAACCGATCAATCGATATTATTAGACGTATATCCGATTTACAGAAATTATCAATTAATCGATTAAACAAAATAAAAATAAATTAGCACAGTATATAATAGCAAAGACTGTACAGCGACAATAGATAAATGACTGTTGTCTTGTAATATTGTGACGTATCTACATGTACTTAGGTAGTGCTAATGTGTGTTAGTGGCCATTTTGTAACCTGCATAAAGATAATATACTAGATTTTCGCTTGTCTTGGTACATGTAGGTTGTAAGTTGTAACATATCGGTATAACTAAATTTTTAAGATTATCTAAAATGATATCCAACTCTTGAAGTCTTTGTTATACATTGACGTTCAATAAAAAGCCTCCATGGAACTAATAAAAATATCTAGTATATTATATCTATGGAAAAATGGCCCTCGATAAATCGTGTCGTGTTGAAATGGCGCTTGTGACAGTTATAGTGTTGTACCTTCCCGGCAATCGCTATTCGTTCGGTTGTCGAATCGAATTAAAAAAAAAGATCCTCAACAATTACAAGTGCCGTTTGAACCATCACCTATACATATACAATTAGTAGTTCATAATCGTCTATATAACAATATGTGTCGTGAATATTTCTTTCTTGAAACATTTATTTCGACCAATTTCCTCCATTTTGTTTCGTTGTTAAAAATGTTACGATAATGATGGTTGTAACGTTGGTTTTTTTATATGAATGGTGCTGCGAAAAGAAAGGGGTTGACAGGGTTCTTGATACTATTGTAGGGTTTCGGAAATTTTACACTAGGCGTAGACGCTATATATCATTCCTCGTAAGGTGAGAAATAGTTTGTACACACCGTGCATTTCTGTTGCATTTGCATTCCCTTTCAACACTCGGACTCGACGTGGCTGATTAATATATTTTATTTTATATTTACACTCCTTAGATGCTATATAAATTGTCTAGTTATTTTTTATATTTATATACCTATACTTATATGGGAAAATAATTCAAATTTGTATATTTTTTCATGGTCAATTTAATATATTTTTCTTGTTGTTTTTTTTTTTGTTATTGATTAAATTTTTTAACCACTTTGAGTGCCGAGTGTTGAAATGTCGATTTTTTTTAGCTCGGTTAAGTTGATGAGTCCATAGGATTTATAATTATAATAGTTTTGCAGATCACCCCTCGTTGAATCTCTGCAATGAACGTGTCCTACATTGATCTCAACATTAAAACTGTTAATGTTCTTGGTGCTTGGGTAGTTGTTTAGAATATAACTGGATTTCTATGATGCAATGCGACCGTAGATACTTTGAGGAAAACAATAACAAAATCCGTCCACTTGTACTAAAGGAACGGGTAACTGACAGACTCGTGTTTTTTTTATATATACATACATATATGTATAATAATTTTGAATATATTCGATATTTGGTATGAATAGTTTTGTTTTTTTTTTTTATAATTTTGTAGCAGTTTTAAAATTATTAAGCGCATTACTATAGTAAGAACAATAGAAAATTTTATAAATGTATATTGAATGCATGCATTGTGGGAATTCAGTTTAGGAATAAACTTTATCTGCTTTTTTAAATACAAAATATAACTAGGTATCATACTTGCCTAGTCGTCGCATTTATTTGTACGGAAGCACTTTACGCAGAAATCGTTGATCGAGACTGGTATAAGGATGGTATATACAAATATTCGATTTTTCTCCCAAAATTACCTTTTTGGACATGTGTACAAGAATGTTTGGAAGGGCCTCTAAATTCGAATTATGACAGTTCTTTTTTTTATTGTGGCAACACTGAAATAAAAATTATAAAAAAATCCGGTTATTATTTAAAGGGGCCCTCATAAAGCAGTGTACACAACTCATTGGCATATCCCACATCACGCTTTGTATCTCGCTCGTGTATAAATAGTTCTAAGCTCTAATTTTAATTAAACATAAGCGCTATGTCTCTGCTAAATTCTCAAATGATATTTTTGGATGGTATATTGACGTATTGGCTGTGATTCGGACGTAATTTTGCAGGTTTTGGTATTATAAGGTTGGGCGCCATCGGTCGGAGTACACTCGGCTACTTGGGCTCTTGCTCTCTATGACAATATAAATATACGTTCTAGTATTATGCAAAAAGTGTAATTTATATATTTAGAAAAAATATAAAGAAATAACAAAATTGGCTTAAAAACTCTGTATGAATATATCATTTATTGAAATTTTTGATATTTTAAGTAGTAATGAATGCATAAAATGTTTTTTTTCTCTAAAAATTAATAAAAAAAACTTAAAAACTAAAAGTACTTCTCATGTAATACTCTATTAGTGTCGGGTATGTTTTTTAAACATTGAAACCCAAAATACAAAATATCAAGGCATCGGTTGCCCCTCGAGTGGCTGAGTGTGCTAAAAGGTGAAATTTTATATTTAAATTTCAAAATTTTTACAAGCTTTTCTATTTACAGCGTTTTTTCCTATTACTATAAGCTCTCGTCTTTTGTATTTTTTTTCTTTTATAAAATTAAAATGTATCCAAATACTGAATTATCCGCCCACTCCTTTTTACCCATACTTTATGAATATATTAAGTAAACTTATATTATAAATGTAACTATGTAACGGTTTATTGTTTGTACAGTGCGTTGTTAAAAATATATGTGAAAAAAAAAATAAAAAAAAATTGTAGTTTCCATATTATATGTAATAGGTATACATACATGTGTGATGTTCAGTGTAAAGTCAGTCGGTGTTTTCAGTATTAGTTTTAAATCATTAGGAGTTAGAATTTTATGTTAGTCGTTAATTATTAACTAAATAGTGTTTTTTTAAGTATACCGTCAGTTACTTTTGATCTTGTCAGGGAATTCCCCGCAGGGTATTTTTTAATGTAGAAATATTTTGTGCCAAGTAGTAATTTTAAATGCCACGTACTTTTAGTATGAATAGGAAATTGTCTGTCTGTCTGTCGATGTACAATGTGTTGTGAGCAAGGATGAGACGTGCAGGAAAATAAGGTTGTACTCAGCTCAAAGCTAGCGTCATGTCCGTCTTTGGATTGTATTTGTATTTTTTTCCAAATTCCATCTAATAAAGTTAACTGATTTTTTCAAGTGGTTTGTTTCATTTCTACCCTTTTGATGTTTGGAATTTGAGTGGTTATTGAATATGGATTATTTAGTAATTTGTCTTTTTGGTGTGCACACCCAGGCAACACAGGATTTAGGTAAAATTTCCTTAGGTGTGACTGAGGGGTAAGTTAAGAATAAAATGGAAAAATGAATGTAGCGGAAGTGATAGTCTTTATTATTACTTGTATAGTGGGCTGCTACTAAGAATTTTTTATCAGTAAAACTCGATAACTACACTGCTCTAACGGGTACTTAAACCAAGGACCTCCGGATCTGCAGTCATACATGCAAGCCACTAGACTATTATTAAGTACAGCGGCAGTAGCAATAATAGTTATTTCATCTATACATATAATAAAAAGGTAAGTTTACGAAATCGATGTGCGCATTTCACGCAAAAAGTACTAAACCGATTTTAACTAAACATTTAGGATACCTTTTATTACAGAAAATTCTTTCATTCCCACGGGAACTGGTTCTATCGAGTAGTTCTTAGATATTTACATGTCAACGCTGGCTAAACTTTAAAAGATACATCAAAACAATGTACTAGAAAATTTTAGGTCTTAATCAAACCTACGGAAAAATCTGCAATGGCATAAGTCTTTTCCTACTCGCAATAATTATTCATATCTATTTAAAACGTACCTACCTACGCACTCGAGCGAAGCCAGGGTAAGTCACTAGTATTTCATAATATGTATGAAGCCTGATTACCTTTTCAGTAAAGGGTGAACAGAGGCTAGCTAGAGACGTTATATGGGGCATGTATGACGTAAATGACTTTTCTGTACCTGTTGTTTTCACACTAACACAAATGGTCCCATATAATTTTATGTTGTTGGTACTTCGAAAACTTTTGCAAGCTTTTATAAATTAAGGCTCTGAAATCATTCCTGTTTTTTTCAATTTTGTACATGTATCAAATGTCAATGAAATAGATAATTTGCAAAGCGTTAGTCCTCGTCATATATGTATAACTAGCGGCTCACCCTCGCTTCGCTCGGGTTCACCTCTAGAAAAGCACAAGCAGATCTATCCCACGGGAACCGTTTATTTTTCGGGGATGAAAAGTAAATTGTTGTTTGACCGGCAATATAAGGTATCAGCATGCCAAATTTTACTACATCAGGTGTGTAAGTTGATGTGTACTAAGCTGTATAAGTTACTATAGTTTTTTAACTATCCCACGGAAACTCTTTAATTTTCTGGAATGAAAAGTAGCTGATTTGTTTTTGTTATGTATGAACTATATTATTGTAAAATTTCATTAAAATCCAATCAGTAGTTTTTGTGTACTAAGCTGTATAAGTTGTTATAGTTTATTAACTATCCCACGGGAACTCTTTAATTTTTCGGGGTGAAAAGTATCTAAGATGTTGTCCGGGGATATAAGGTACCACCATGCAAAATTTCATTTAAATCGGTCAAATAGATTCGGAGATTAGCCCGTACAAACAGGATAACAGACAAACAGCTCGCTCGGGTTCGTCCATACCTACGAATATGTTGTATTATCTCTTTAACCATTTGTCCATATTACATGCAGTAAAAGGGAAAAGTCTTTTGTTTTAAACATTTTAGACGATAAATTTACTTATTTTGATAAGAATTCATAATTGTTGATAATATACAACCACCAACCAATAAACATGACCTACCGATTTAAATTATTTTTTTAATATAAAAAACTACTTTTTGTGAATGAAATATAAAAGTTAGACATATACTGTCGCTGACTTTTTTGTAGGCATTATTAAGCTCTACAACTTTTCTCTAGAATATAATCATATATCTCTTTTTTTTTTTTGACCGTTTTTTCTCCGACTTAATTTGCAAATCCGACTACCACGAAAAATCCTTTTCATTCTTCAGGTTAATATATAGCCTATGACACTCAGAAAGAACGTGGCTTTCTATTGGTAAAAGAATTTTGAAAATCGGTTCAGTAGATCCAGAGATTACCCCCTACAACGTCACAAACTCACAAACTCACAAACCCACAAACTCACAAGATCACAAACTTTACCTCTTTATAATATTAGTATAGATGTAGATAACCTATAATGGCATCTAATCAAATATTTTAAAACACATACCGATTTTAAATTATGTAAGCGTATTGCGTAACGATATCAAATTCCAACCAAGGTAAATAGGTACCTACTTATACAAAACAGTAAAATAGCTATACTATACAATATTATATGATATATAGCCTTCATTATTAAACTATCATCTAATGCAAAAAGAATTTTTCAAATTGTAGTAGTAGTTCCTGAGATTAGCGCGTTCAAAGAAACAAACAAACTCAGCCTTTTTGTACTATTCGTATAGATTATAATTATTGCGAAAGACATCTAGGAACGTGGCTCAAACTAAGGTAATTATATCGACTTGAAAATATTGAAGGTCGGTTTACATTTTGCGAAGTCATTGTATAAAAATTAAAATAATCATATTTAATAAAATCATTTCGACGTCATCATCATGCGTATAAAAGAATCATAAAACTCAAGGAGAGTTCAAATTTTTTTTTATATAGGATAGGGGCCGACAAAAAAATATTAAGCTACATAAGACTAAATGATCTACTAGTAATTAAAGTCCGCTGATAAAGGCAGTGGTAGCCCAGTGGTAACGCGCTTGCTTGGGAAACCGAGTGAAGCGGGTTCAAATCCCGGGTCTCGCACCTCTGATATTTTCATGTGCGAATCATTTCCAACATGATTACCACTTGCCTTACGGTGAAGGAAAAACGTCGTGAGGAAACCTGCATGCCTGACAGAACCTAGCGAGTTTTCAAAAGACGTGAAGTCCGCCAACCCGCACTTGGCCAGCGTGGTGGACTATGGCCTGATCCCCCTCGTATTGAAGGGAGGCCCGTGCCCAGCAGTGGGACGTTAAAAAGGGCTGAATACACACATACTTAATAGTATACGCTCCCACATCCAATATAATTTCTACTAAACTATCGGCTAATAGCCGTCTCAATAGGGCATTCATTTTCATTTGTTGTGAGTATTCTCACGATTAAGAGTTTCATACTAAGATTTTTTATCGCGTTGTCGACGCCTGCTTGTGACGCGTTTGTTTCGTATGCAAGTAATCTGCATTTTTTAAGTTTATCAGTGTAAGATATCATCTATAACATATAATAAAATTGTAACAAAGCCGAATCTGTACAATAAATATTTTTTTGGAAAATCTTATTGAAATAAACATTATTATCAATACAGAGGCCGAATCTATAGTTTTTGGAATTTTTGTCTGTCTGTTTGTCTATCTGTTACCGCATTACAGAATAACCACTGGAAAGATTTTGATGAAATTAACATGAAACATATAGGATAATTTTACCGCGGGAAAATATCTCATTTCTGAGAAAAAATGCAAAAACTGCAATGTAAAAGTAAAAAAAATAAGTAGGTATATGTAAAACCTAAGAATTTGGTTTTTGATTATCTGAACGCGGGCGGAGGCGCGGGCATTTATAATACGTGGGCGTTTATAAAACGCGATGTACATAAGGCCTTACAGCGGACGCGGGGGGTACCAGTACGATGTCCGGCCACGGTTATCAAGTGCTGACACACTGTCTGGTCACCTTGAGACCGGGGCAGTCATAGATTCGTTAGCCGACTGGAGATACCGCGACTAGCTCATTAGGCGATAACATTCAATACAAACGTTGTCTTCCGCTCAATATTGAACGTATTGTTGTGCTGTAAGGTGTGGTAAGTAATATCATCTTCATTTCTTTATACCTATTTAGTGATCATATAAGATTCATGATTTATCATAATTTATAAGTAGGTATTTTATATTTTGTACAGACTTCATAATAATAGTGAATTAAACGAGTTTTTTTTTAATTAAAGTTGATACCTATTGTTTGTTTACGTATTTTTTGTAATTCAATGAGAGATATAAGAAGTTAATTAAAACCGCTTTCGTTATTGCCATGACATGAAAAATACCTTATATAAAAATAAAATTGTTAAGTACCTTTTTTTTTTTTTTAACGTTGGGAAATGCATTTACGCACGACGTGTGGGACTCACCGGCGTAATACATCCAGTACTACCCACTAAAACCCAACTAAACCTTCCCCCGTCTTAATGGGGCGTCGCAGGATCGCTTACGCATTCAACTACGACGCCCCGACGGCAGGTCTGCCAAAGCAGATCACCACAACCATGGGGTTGCTCCAAGGTCCACTCTGCTATCAGAGAAGTACCAGGAGCAACCCGCATGGTACACCGCCCTCCGAAGAGGGCCACCTCCCACCGCCCACCGAAGTGGGCAACCTCCCTGTGCGTTTCTTAGCTTCGCTACTGCTACTGAGCCCCCCCACCACGACAAGGTGAACGCACGTTGGGGGGGGTAAATTGTTAAGTACCTACATCAGACGCTAATAAACAAATATTTGTCGTCTTCATCACCTTCAGAGGTGACTTAATGAATGAAGCTTAAAGATTGGACCTAGTTTCTATTAATTTAAGGATAAGTTTTATTAACAGTTAAATATTTTTAGTGAGATGTCGCTTAAAGTGGAGAGAATAATATCGGATGTGCAGGAGTTGGGCGAGGGCCCGCACTGGGACGAGCGACAGAAAGCTCTTTTCTTTGTGAACATCAAGGGCTTCTCTATTCACAAGTACGTTCCTGCCACAAAACAACATACGAAAACCAAACTTAGTGAGTATTTATTTGTGTATTCAGCCCTTTTTACGTCCCACTGCTGGGCACGGGTCTCCCTTCAATACGAGAGGGATCAGGCTGTCCGTCCGTGGCATAGTCCACGCTGGCCAAGTGCGGGTTTGGAGTTCTTATTTACTGGAGACGAAATTCAACATTGTCGTTGTGCTCTTGGCACGTCTACTCTTCCTACGGCGCCACGATTTGAAGGCAGATCCGCATGGATCTCGACGAGATATGCCGAAAAGTAAGAATATTTTATTTCAAAATACCGTCAAAAAAAGTAAAAAAAATATTTATTTTTCGATTTTTGAGTATCTATATTTTGGAAACTAAGCGAGATATCGAAAAATTTGATTCTTACTTTTCGACATGTCTCGTCGAGATCTATGCGAATCAGCCTTCAAATCGTGGCACCGTAGGAACCGTAGAATCCCCGTGCTTTTTTCTAATTTGTCTTTACCCGAGCATATTAAAGTGTGATTTATTAATTGCAAAGTAAGGTATTGTAACTTGAAGCTACTTTTGAGCAGGGCTCGAACCGGTTTAAAAAAACGGTTTATTTCGTTAATTCATCGCTTGTTTTTTAACCGGTTAATCAACTCCTTGCGGTATAGAAAAAAAGCTTTCTCATCTCTAAGATATGTGTTTTTATCCTTTCCATTTTTAAGAACTTACAAAGTTCCTTACTAATTTCGGAGCCATGTAAGATTTAATATTATTACGAAGTGTCTTCTGCGAAAAATCTCTTTTATAAACAATATTTGTTATTAACAACAAGTTACAAGAGAAAAATATTTTTCATTATTTCTGTAGTTTGTCGAAGAAAATATATTAAGAAAATTTCATTACAGACGGCAACGTAGGCTTCATCGTGCCTGTAGAAGGAACAACAGATCAGTTCATCGTTGGGTTGGAGAAGCAATTTGTAATCGTTCAGTGGGACGGCGGCGACGGCAGCCCGGCCTCCGTCGTCAAGGAACTGGGTACCGTGGATGAAGGCGTGGAGCCTCCGACCAGGATCAACGACGGGAAGGCTGACCCGAGAGGACGAGTGTTTGCTGGTAAGAGTATCTCTACAATACAATCAGACTACTGTAAATGCGACATATTATTTCTGTTTGTCTGTTACTCCTTCACGCTGAAACGGCTGTGAGTTTATATTAATATTTGCGATTTCTAGTCACCTAACAGCGGCTAGGCTAGTGTCATAACTATGTGTCAACTGTTACTCATAAGTCATAGCCTATCTATAGGTACTAAATTTTATCGAAATTGTCCAGCCATTTCAGCAGAAAGGAGTGACAAACATACACGTTACTCCGTACATATATAAAACTAGCATTTATAATAGGTAGTCGTCAGAAACCCTCTTGTACTCTATAATCGTTATATCTTTGCTCGCAAGTCGTTTGTTATTTTCGTTTTTCATTATCTTCTGAGCTACCTAAATTCTATCCAAATAACATACTGTAAAAGGCAATTAATGTTATCTTATATTCTATAGTAGGTACTTGTGATAATGAAATAGTTTATTTTTATACCGATCAATATTGTGTAGTTCAAGGAATTCGATAAACATTACTTAATATCTAATGTTACATAAGTTTTTTTAAACATATCTGCTAATATATAAAAATTAGATGTGTATATCTTACCGCAGACTTTGTAAATCTATTTAAGTTGTATTAAAACTAGTGAGCTAACCTCGCTTCGCTCGAGTGCATCCCTAGGTACCTACATTTTCAATATAAATAGTTATTGTGAGTGTAAGAAAAAAAGGCAGTGCTAGTAGTAACGCGCTCGCTTGGGAAACCGAGTGAAGCGAGTCCAAATCTCGGGTCTCGCACCTCTGATATTTTCATGTGCGAATCATTTCTAACATGATTATAACTTAACTTACGGTGAAGGAGAACCTAGCAAGTTTCGAAGTTATCGAAAGACATGTGAAGTCCGCCAACCTGCACTTGGCCAACGTGGGTGACGAGGCTATAGCCTGATCCCCCTCGTATTGAAGGGAGCTGGGAGGCCCATACCCGGCAGTGGGACGTTAAAAAAGGGCTGAATACACACGCAAGAAAAAGTCTGTAAACTAAAAATTAAAATTTAAAATAAATCCGCGAAAAAATCCGAATAGATAGTTTTACGAGTATTTAAAATGTCAAATATTCGCGTAAATCTAAGAAAGTATAAGTATCTGATTCACACAATTTATATGTTTAATATATTTGAAATATATACAGTTTTTTGAAAACCGTACCTACTTTTTTTTCAGGGACGATTGGGTATGAAAATTCGCCAGGCGATTATGTAAGAAACAAAGCATCTTTGTACCGCGTAGACGAGCGCGGTATTCAGAAGCTGTGCAGCAACATTACCATCTCTAATGGCCTAAACTGGGATCTTCGGAGGAAGGCCTTCTATTACACCGACACCTTCGAGAGGAAGATAAGGAGATACGACTACGACGTCGAGACAGGCGAAATTTGTAAGTCTGTAGCATACTTACCTGTGCTCCACCTGTAAAAAACCTTATTATAATATATAATTATAGTAACAATAATAAATAATCAGTATTGATATATATGTAAATGTAAACCAACTATAATAAATTATTAGTATTGTATAACTGTTAAAATAGTATTTAATTGTATCTAAATAACATAAATAAATAAACTACATAAATAAATATACATATAAATAATATCATATAATGTAACAATATGTAAAAGTATAGAATAATATATAACTTACTTGTATAATATTGTACTTAAATATACTAAATATCTTAAGATCAAATTAGATGTAAAATAATTAAAACATTTAATAAATTATTAAACTTTATATAGTAGAACTGCATGTCGGAAGGCGGTCGTGGCCGCGTCGTTGCGCATTTTACATCTCACTCACCCCACATTTTTGGTGACCCCGACGTGATATGAACACGCAACCTTCTGATATGCAGTTCTACTATATAAAGTTTAATAATTTATTAAATGTTTTAATTATTTTACATCTAATTTGATCTTAAGATATTTAGTATATTTAAGTACAATATTATACAAGTAAGTTATATATTATTCTATACTTTTACATATTGTTACATTATATGATATTATTTATATGTATATTTATTTATGTAGTTTATTTATTTATGTTATTTAGATACAATTAAATACTATTTTAACAGTTATACAATACTAATAATTTATTATAGTTGGTTTACATTTACATATATATCAATACTGATTATTTATTATTGTTACTATAATTATATATTATAATAAGGTTTTTTACAGGTGGAGCACAGGTAAGTATGCTACAAGTCTTTTAAATTAGTTTTTTTGTTATATCATTAGAGCGCACAAAGAAAAGTATATTTTTAATTTAATTCACGAACCCTAAGCCTAAATTAATCAATTCTGATATTAGATCACATTTTAGAATTATGGTAATATTTATTTTTTTCTAGATTTCTTTATGTTATTTATTTATTATTTACTTATTTATACTTAATTATTTATACGCAAATTATAAACAAGTAACGAACATTTTTATTATTGCGAGACATGCACCCGAATAATATACATATTGATATTGCGAGAGAGAGTTAGGCAGATTGGAATTCGTTTATTTGTAAGAGAAAAAAAATTAAACCTGAAGTTTTTTGTTTTTAAAACGTTAGTAGGTACCTATATAAGGTTTAAAAATCCGTGAAATGGCCCCTATGTCTATTACCCCCGACAAATAAGGGGATAAAAAGCGTTGAAAAATAGTTTTCTTTTCAATTTTCGGCTTACTCTGACGTCCTATCGAAAAATATTCTCCATAAAAGTTGTAGGTCTAGTAAAAATCTACAACTTTTATAGATAACACTTTTTACAATAACCTCTTTGAGGTTATTTATTAACAGACTTCTAAAAAGGAGGAGGTTCTCAATTCGTCGGAATCTTTTTTTTAATGTATGTTCTCCGATTACACGAAGACGCCTGAACCGATTTGGAAATATTTTAGTTGTGTGTTTTTGTGAAAAGATCGCAAAAGAATGCTAAATTTTTTAAAGATTTTTGAAAGTCTGTATCTCAGCGAAAAGTAACCGTATCGAGATGAAAACAAGATTTTTACTAGACTTACAACTTTTATATAGAATTTTTTCCTATAGGACGTCACAGTAAGCCGAAAATTGAAAAAAACTATTATTCAACGCTTTTCAATCCCCCATTTCTCGGGGGTAGCTAGGCATCGGGTGCATTTTACGGATTTTTGTTCCTAATATACCTGCTAACGTTTTAAAGACAAAACTTCAGGTTTTAATTTTTTTGTTCCCAAACCGGATTCCGACTGAACTAATATGTTTTAGTGCTCTCGAGTAACTCGCTAACACTACAAACATTTTTCCAGCTAACCTGGAGTACATTTTTGATTTCGAGAAAGAAAACGTAGAAGGCTACCCCGACGGCTCCACCATCGATGCAGATGGCAATCTTTGGGTCGCAGTGTTCAACGGCTCGTGCGTTATCAAAATAGATCCAGTCAGTGGGAAGGTACTCGATAAGGTTTCAGTTCCAGCGCCTCAAGTCACTTCAGTTACTTTTGGAGGAGACAATTTAGACGTTATGTTTGTAACTACAGCTTGCATGGACGTTGGTGGTATTCCTGGACCACCCTCAGGATCTGTCTTCATGGTCACGGGCGTTGGGGTGAAGGGAACGAAAAATATGAATTTCAAACTCAAATGAATAAGATTAATAACATTTTCAATACTTTGTTATTTTTTTAATAAAATTGTTACTTTTAAAAAAAATGCAGTTATTGTTATTGATGAATTTAAAAGAAAAAAATGGATTTATTATTGACATTTTATTTTGTTTAAATTATATTTGTAATTTTTCATACGACGTTATATATTATGTTTAATTTCTTGCAAAATATTAACTAATATTTTATGCAACATATTTTTTTTATTGCAGTCATGTAATTTTTTATTGTTGTATTTTTCTTTATATCCCATATCCCATATTTATAATATTATATCCCAGGCCTATATTTGATATATAAAAACTCATATCATTGGTCATCCTAAATAAAAAAATTAAGGTCAAAAATAGTAGCTAGTAATAACTAATGACAAACATAACTGAAATTTTATAGTTATAAAAAATTGGAAAAATATTGTACATTATAGAACGTTTTGAGAAACGAATCCAATGAAATCTAATCTGATTATAAGAATAATGTATCGCTTCTATTGTCCTAAAATTACATTAATAATGAGTAAAACTTAAAATGACTGTCTTTGTTTTATTAAATCTATACATACTCGTATGATAAAATTTTAACTAAGCCGAATCTGTACATTAAGTATTTTTTTGAAAATCACATTGAAATAGACATTATTATCGATACAGAGGCCGAATCTAGTTTTTAGAATTATTGTCTGTCTGTTACCGCATCACGAGAAAACCACTGGACAGATTTTGATGAAATTTGGTATGATGGTAGCTGGTTATCCGGGCCAACATATAGGATACTTTTTACCGCGGGAAAATATCCTATTTCTGAGAAAAAATACAAAAACTGCATTTTAAGAGTATACTAATATGTAAAACCCAAGAATTTGGTTTTTGGTCATCCGAACGCGGGCGGAGCCGCGGGCAATGCTAGTATTATATATATTTTTACATGTAATCGGAACAAAAACACAGGTATGACATGTCACCTTATTGTATTTATTTTACTCTTATTAGAATTTCATTTGAATTTGGTATTACATTTCCTATTGTAATCTAATTAGACTGACTAAAGTAAAATTTGAAGAGAATTTCAATTATTGTTAGAATTTTTGTATAATTACGTAAGTTGAAAATGTCAATTTTTGTTTGTATAGGTATTTCAATAGTTTTAGTCTCACAAGATCGGTCTAGAACTGTTTTCTATGCACCCCTATGATGTGGATATGAAATGAAAGGGTTTGCTGAAAATAATACAAAAAAAAAGTAAAAAACATTCAAAAATTAAACATAAAAAAAATATTTAAATGCTCTAAAAAACAAAGAATTATAACTTCTTACGTGCATACGTAAGTACACACATTTTTTTTCTTCCTTGTTATTGCTCTGTTGAGAACTGAACTGGAGCCTAGAGTCCTTACTGATACAATTGTACCCCTAAACCTTATTATCTTTATCGCATTATTCCCTTATGTATCCTTTTCTTGAAAAATATTTTATATAACTACAATAACTAAAAAGTTTCTAGAACACAAACTTTAAATAATACAAGTTTCCACATTTCTACTATAAAATTTTGCTATAGGTATCTTCTAAACGGGTTATCCGATTTTCATAATTCCAATTGGAATATTACTGTACTATATATATTACTTATAACGATAAAATTATCGTTAAAATAAGTATTAACGTTATTTATTTTTAACGTTAAAATGGTGAGAAATAACACAGTTAATATATTACACAGTATATTTTGTGACGCAACCGGAAGAATACAATTTTTTTTGAAATCATACCGCATGGAATTACGAGCTCCTAGATCATAAATAGCGTTCTTTTTTGAATATTATAAATATCGAAAAATTTACCGCGGCATTGCCCTAAAGAAGTATTCATCAGCATCATCAGCAGAGAGGACAATATCATATAATTTCTTTATGTAGGCAGGTAAATCATTAATATACATTAAGCATAAAAACAGGCCAAGAATAGATCCTTGTGGGGCACTCATTTTTAAAGGACATCCAGAAGATTTTACATTACTTATATTAACCCTCTGGATTCCCTGATTGCGGTACGAAGCAATAAGATCAAGCGCAGCGCCCTGAATACCATAATAATAAAGTTTAAGCAAAAGTGTTTGATGATATACTGTTTACACAGTCAAAAGCTTTAGAAAAATCGCAAAATACACCAATATGTAAGTACAAATTAAATGTGCCTAAAAATCGCAGCACACGCATCAGTTGTCAGTTTACCTTTGGTGAAGCTATACTGCTCACTGTGAATACGTATACATTGTTACAATTTAAATAGATTCCTTAATTGGCATAAAATTATCTTTTCAAAAATTGTGCTTAATGCTGGTAGTATTGAAATAGACCTATAAGTAATTTCCAGGTTCAAATCTAACACCACTTTTAAATAAAGGTATTACTTTACTATGTTCCATTAAATCCGGGAATGTACCACTATGTACACATTTATTAAAAATAGAAGCTAAATAAGGAGCAATATTTATTATAGTATTACTTAGTAATTTTACTTTAATTTTATTTTACTTTTAATACCCCATAAATCACCTGACTTTTTTGGATTTAAGGTTTTAAATATTTTCACAATGTCCGCTGATGGAATATGTTTGAACGCGAAGAAGTTATTATTATTATCATTCGTATTGTCATGCTGTAATGTGTGGTAAGTGATCTTATCTATCTAATTTATTTCTTTATATTTAATGCTCATAGAAGATAGATGTTTCATTATAAGTATTTTATGTTTCCTCTACATCTATTTACACGATAATAGTGAATTCAAATAGCTTTTAATAAATTTTCCATGTATTGTCATTTAATGAGTGATATAAAAAGTTCACTATTGCTACTATTTTCGGACAAAATTTCGTTAGCAAAATTATGCAAGATGCTTGCAAAATATTATTGCCAAAACATGAAAACTACTGTAAAAATAAAATTATTAAGTACATTAGACTAATAAGTAAATGTTTGTCGTCTTCATCACCTTCATAGACGACTGAAATGAATGGAGCTTATTAAACATTGGACCTAGTTTCTATTAATTTAAGAATAAGTTTCATTAGCAGTTAAATATTTTTAGCGAGATGTCGCTTAAAGTGGAGAGAATAATATCGGATGTGCAGGAGTTGGGCGAGGGCCCGCACTGGGACGAGCGACAGAAAGCTCTTTTCTTTGTGAACATCAAGGGCTTCTCTATCCACAAGTACGTCCCTGCCACAGAACAACATACGAAAACTAAACTTAGTAAGTTCTTATTTACTGGAGACCAACACTGTCTTTGTGCTTTCTACTAATTTGACTTTATCCAAGAAAATTAAAGTGTGATTTATTAATGACAAAGTAAGATGTTGAAGCTACTTTTAAGGCAAAAATAGCTTTGTCACCTCTAAGAGCCATGTAAGTTGTAGGTAATAGGTATTATTCGAAGTGTCTCGAAAAATCTCTTAAAACAATATTTGTTATTAACAACAAGTTACAAGACAAAAATACTTTTCATTATTTCTGTAGTTTGTCGTGGAAAATATATTAAGAAAATTTCATTGCAGATGGCAACGTAGGCTTCATTGTGCCTGTAGAAGGAACAACAGATCAGTTCATCGTTGGGTTGGAGAAGCAATTTGTCATTGTTCAGTGGGACGGCGGCGACGGCAGTCCGGCCTCTGTCGTCAAGGAGTTGGGTACCGTGGATGAAGGCGTGGAGCCTCCGACCAGGATCAACGACGGGAAGGCAGACCCGAGAGGACGAGTGTTTGCTGGTAAGAGTATCTATGCAGATAAATAAAATTGAAGTGTCTGTTTGTATTATTTAATTTTAGTTTGAATTATTAACGGTATTTATAAGAAAAATACAAACAAAAAGAAAATAATCTGTTTGTTCCAGCTAATCTCCGAAACGGCTGGGCCAATTTTGACGCGACCTTGCGGTGAGTCGCTCGTGTACAATATAATCAGACTGTGTATATGTATGTATATCTGTTACGCTTTCTCGCCGAAACGGCTGTGAACTTATATGAATATTTGCGATTTCTAGTTGCCTAACAGTGGCCTGTGTATCAACTGTTACTCCAAGTTGCAGTCTATATAGGTAAGTAGGTACTAAATTTTATCCAAAGGAGTCCAGCCGTTTCAGCAGAGAGGAGTGACAAACATACACACATATTGAACGTTTAGTATATATAGATTTCTCAGATATGAGATATTTTCCCGCAGTAAAATGTATCCTATATTTTGACCCGGATAACCAGCTATCATCATACCGAATTTTATCAAAATCTGTCCAGTGACTTTCTCGTGATGCGTTCCCAGACAGAGACAAAAATTCTAAAAACTATAGATTCGGCCTCTGTATCGATGATATATAATGACTATTTCACTAAGATTTAAAAGAAATATTTAGAATGTAAAGATTCGACTCAGAATTTCATTGTATGTACAGACTACTGACTAGCATTTATATTCGGTAGTAGTGACAAGGTCAAAATTTAAATTAGAATAAATTTAAATATAATAAAAAGTTTAAAATGTTTTTATAAAATTTTTTATTCTTTACAAAAAAAGTGATAATAATAATTTTGAAAATAAAGAAATAGACAATAACAATAATTAATAATAAAAAATATATAGCAATAAAAAAGTGCGTGTGTGTGCAATTCCCGCACGGTCGAGTGAAACTTCAGAAAAGATACCTACGAGAGAATGAGAAATAAGAGTATCAGGAGTAGGATAATTATAAGATTTTCTTTTTTAATAATATTTTTACCACGCTTAAAAGTTATTTTACATTTTATTTGATATAAATATACACCACATATTATTCAGTTATTAATTTTATTATTTTTCACTTTCTGTGTAATGTATTCTATCTCAAATAATTAAATAAGGCATATTAGGCATATTACAATCATATATTTATAGAATATCATATACGGAAAGTATACACATACGTAAATATATTAGATATTTACATAA